TGTGTGTGTGTGTGTGTGTGTGTGTGTGTGTGTCTGTGTGTGTGTGTGTGTGTTACCTGAAAAACTGTGAACAATTGCTTGAAGGAGTTTTTTTTTCTATGATATGTTGGTCTGTGTGTGTGTGACTGAGTGACTTACCTGAGAGACAGGTTCAACAGTGCATTCAGATCACGTGGCACATAAACAAAAATGTTGGTGGAATTTTGTTTTTTTTTTTAGCCAAGTTCGTTTGTGTCTGTGTTTGTGTGTGTGTGTGTGTGTTACCTGAAAACAGGTTCAACAGGGCATGCACAAGACGTGATAACAACAACAAAAAAAAAAATTCCATAATTTTGGTTTTATTCATGAACATGTGGTTGTACAAACAAACAAGGGCATGGATTGCATTGGATTATAAGGTTAAAATTGTCTTTTTATATTGATAGTTGCAATTATTGACTTTTTTAAGTTGGTATTATACATATAATATGTGTGACAAACAAACAAGGGGAATGATGAGATTATAATTTAAGACCGGGTATACTATACTATTGGATCGGAATGGAATGTATATAAACTCTTTTACCACCTAAATTTAATACCCGAAACAAACAGGCCCCTATAGTCCACACACAAACGCAATGTCTCATCATTCTTCTTCGCAAATAGTGCCGAAGCACCCCACGGAGAAGTACTAGGACAAATAAAACCCTTACCCAGCAAATCAGTTAACTACTCCTTCAGCTCTCTCAACTCAGCTGGAGTCATGTGGTAAGGTGGAATGGAAATAGACATAGTGTCTGGGATAAGCTCTGTCGTGAACTCTATCTCTCATCTCGGCGGTAGACGAGTCAAGTTATTCGGGAAGACATCTGGAAACTTATCCACTATGGGTGGTAACACACTCTCTGTAGTCCCACCCCCATCTACTATCAAACGAGCCACCATGTAACTATGACCTCCCCAACTTCTCGAGTTATACAAGGGTGGAACTAAGAAGTCCCCTAGATTTCCCGTGAAATAAAAGCTATCTCCCTCAGGAGTACATACTTTCACTCTCCCCCTATAACAATCTATACTCGCCTAAAAAGCAAACAATCAATCCATCCCCAAAATAATATCAAAATCAGACATGTCAAGCAGAATAAAGTCAAAATAAAGGATGCGATCAACTATCTCTATCGGGCAATCTCTACAGATCCTCGTCAATATCACACTACCCCAAATTGGGGTGTCAACATGTAATTGTGGGTCTAACCGATCTATGTCCAGCCCCAATGTCATGGCAAGTATGGTAGATATGAATGAATGAGATGCACCCGAGTCTATTAGCACGCTAACCCATGAACTAAACACAAGGAATGTACCTCGAACCACTAAAGGTCTAGAAGTAGATGTCTCTGGTGTGGCCACTGCATAAACACGACCCTGAGTAGTTTGGCCCTGCCTACCTCCCCCTCTCTATCCTTGCTGACCTCCTCCCCTCTGTCCAGGAGCTCCAACACTCTGTGCGGAGGGTGCAGACTGAAGATATGGTGTCGAAGGTCTATGGCCTAACTGTGGCTGTGACAGAGGCACCTGAGTATGCTAATAGTAATATGACCTCTGCGAGCTCTATGAAGTCTTCCCCAGAGGACAGTTGGCCATTTACCCTAACATGACCCGTCTGGTGACAAGGGTAGCAACGCTGTGGAGCTCTCCACCCCTAACCCTGTACCGGTGGTGGAAATGATTCCTATCTCGATCCAGCTCTGCGCCCCTGGCTGGGATCTCTCTAGGGGCAATCGGTCATTCCATGGGCAGGCTATCCACACTGATAATAAGGAAAGGGCCTATGAGGTGTTCCCCCATGGAAAGAAATAGGCATAAGAGGTTAAAAGGCTAAAAACTAGGTAGGTTGTTGTGATGTCTATGAAAAAGAAGCACTAGTCTTGTACTTCTTCGCCAGTCCCCTACCAGTGTAAACTGGGACAGATGTAGAAGTCTGAGCTGTAACTGCCCCACTCTGTGTCCGGGACTCTCTAATCCCTCTATGGTCAGCCAACTCCCTCTCAACCTTGGTGGCCTTAATCACTACCTTATTGTAGGTCTCAATAATGTGGCCGGTCAGTCTATCTCTAATGGAGGTCTTCAACCCCCTAACAAAGTAAAGGACCCTCAGTCGTTCCTCTCGAATAACATGTGGGGCAAATCTCCCCAATGCAGTAAACCGAGACTCATATTAAGTCATCGTCATGTATCCTTGTAGGAGAGCCATGAATTCATCCATATACCCAATCTGTGTAGTCTCGAAAAAATAGTGGTCATTGAACATAGCCACAAAGGCATCTCATCCCTCCCATCCCTCCTTGAAACTGTTTATCCGGTGAGTAGCTATTCTGCACCACTGACTAGCCAACTCAGTAAACTAAAAGGTGGCACACCCGATCCTCAAATGTGGCTCCACGATCGCCTGTGAGTCCAGGATCCTGATGATATGCTCTAACCACTCCTCGGCTACTAGAGGGTTAGGCTGTCCAGCAAATGTAGGAGGCCTCATCTTATGGAATACCTTCATCACATGGGTATCCCTAATCTCACCACCTGTAGTCCTGGTCTCCTGCATAGCTCAAAAACACTCCTGTAAAATGGCCGCCATATCTCTGGCGCCAATGCTCTGCTCTACCTCCTTTGCTGGGGAAGGTGCAGGAGCAGGAGTAACGACCTCCTCAGCTGTTCTATGAGCAGAAGCAGTAGCTCGGGGCTTACCACGCCGCAATGGTGCTGTCGCTCAAGACCT